ACCTTTTAAGCAACCAACATAGGAGCAAGATATAGGAAGAGAATATGAGAAGGCAATGTTGGGTGATGCCTGTTTGATGAGAAATAAGTTGCAAAGGTGGCAGGATTTTCATATAGTTGGTCTGCTTCCATCTCTCTCTATGGTTAGCCCTTGGACTGATTTGGACTTGGAAGGATAGAGGCAAACTGAAGTATGCAGAAACAAGGGACTCACTTTGAAAAACAAGGTTCACATGTAGTCCTGCAATGGTGCCATTCATGGTATTTCCTACTTGCTGAGGCTGATTCTCAAATCTCCAGCCCATCACTGCATCAAATTATCAGAAATGTATTGAAAATTCGTAAGTTGGTTATGCTAAGTGCAGGAAAAGGTAGGAAGATATCTTCCAATGAAAGGAAGTGATCATTATAATACCATGTCTTGCTGTGAAGTCCTCCACCACACCCTCCTCCTTGGCTTTCTAACGTGGTTATCTCATATCTGAAACAACTCCAATACATGAAACAAAATAGGGATGATATACCTCCTTTTCGAATTCCTTTAGCGGAAGATGAGAAACAAAGTTTTAGAATGACACAAAACTAAGAGTGGAAAATGGTGTCGAGTTGTGTATAATTCATGTTGCTTATGTTTCAACAGATGCATGACCTATCTAGGTTTACACCAGCAACTCCTTTTTCTCTCTGTGCTCCTGCTGCTTCATTTTACAGAGGTGGATTGTGGTGTTCATCAATAAAGTGGAAAGAAACTTCTTATGGTTGTGCCGGTTGATACTTTGCGTGTATGGCCTGTTATTTGTCATATTTCGAGCCATCCATATGTTAGCAGGCACCTGTTTTGGAAATGAAGATTTAATTGGAGTTGTTGTACACTATGTGTCTCATCATCGGGTAGAAATAAGGGGTGAAAGTCTATCTCACATCCGGTGGTGCAATATGCATCTTGTTCTTATAAATTATAGTTATAGGTCTTTATGGGAGAACACTTCCTGTGATTGTTATTGTTTGTTTCATTCTGCTGTCATAAGTATTGATTGTTGCACTTAATTGTTCTGGCTGGTACAGTTCACATGCTTCTTCCTTCTAGAGAGTTCCCCAAAAAAAAAAAAAAATCTTTCCACTTCTTGGGGTAAATAAAGGGAAAAATTGTTTTTCTCATGTATTCGAAGTAGTTGAATTCGTAGATAACACAAAAAACTATGTTATTGGTTATGATACTGTTCATTTCTCCAATGAACAAAATATCCACTGGTTAGATTCTTGGGATCTATGAGAGTTTCACTTATGTTAATCGTTCATTTTTTATCTGTGGCATTTCAGGTGCCTTTGTCATTATTTGGAGGTTCTGGAAACTATGCCTCAGCTTTGTACATCGTAGCAGTAAAAGCTAATGCATTGGAAAAGGTTGAATCCGAGCTTCTTGACCTTGTTGAGGCTTCAAAGAAAAGTCCCAGATTTTCTCAATTCACGAAGGATTCGTCAGTACCTGCTGATACTAGAGTAAAGGCTATTAATGATGTTTGTGCTCAAGCTAAATTTTCGGACGTCACAAAAAAATTTTTGGGTATGATAATTTGCTAGTGTTCATTATATTTTATGATGTATGATACAAAACTTTTGACATAAAAACGGATTGACATGATTTTGTATTCTCACATTTAACAATAGGTAGACTATTAGATGGCCAAATCAAGATGAGGGCCAAAGCATGGATTTTGGCCCTTTTTTTAAATGTTGGATGTGGAGCCTAGGGATAAGAAAAGGGCCAATTAGGAAATATACATGGAGCACAAGTTTGTACTCGTCTAGTCGAGGATATGACTATTCTGGTCATAAGATAGGTTAATTTTGTACTACTAAAAATATTGAAAAGTTGAGTTAACATGCCGCTGTTATTATTTTGTGTGTTTCTGGTTAAAAAAAAAAGGAGGAATTATTTTATGCCTATTTTGTTAGGTTTCAATGGTCAAGGGTATTTTGGTCTCTTCAATAGTTGGATAAGAACAGTAGCTATAGTCCATGCTTATTTGCGTTCAAATTACAGTATTTTTGTTTTCTATGGAGCCCTTAGTGTTCTCGAATAGATTTAGTAATCAAAAAGTAATGTTGTCTGCTTCATGGGCTCTTCTCTTGGATAATTCTAGTAGCCTATAAATGCATGGGTAATGAATATAATGGTGTTTCAATATTTGTGTGAAGTTTGGAAACTTGTGTGATGCTCAATGCAACCTTACCTTAGAGGGTGATTCCTTGGGATTATTGGTGGAATTCTCAAGGTTTATTTCTTCTGCTTCTTCTTTTTCACTGTTCTACAGTTTTTCACTTGTGACCAGACCTTCTAAACCTGTTTTCAACCCTAAGAAAACAATTACAGAGATGACTCAATTTTGGCAACATAAACCACAAAAAATGCAAAAACTATTGTTATCGGGTAATTGTTCACAACCCCCCCTCAGCCAGAAAACCTTGTCAAGCCTTAATCAACCCTAACCCGTTTGCCCATTAGATCAACTCCAAAAATTTTGTGCCACTTGCTGTCCTGAAAAATTCATGCGCACTTACTTCTCTTCAATGTCTTGCATTCAAATCTTTTGGAAATGAATCCGATTCCATCCCATTTCTGTCTGCGAAGCAAAGGAACTCTCTTCTACTCGGTTGAATTCACAAGCTGCTTACAATCGAAATCCACCACGAGATCAATTGTTAGTGGCACAGCCCTGAGTTTCCTAACGCTGCCCTTCATCAATATTCCACGGACAACTTATAATTTTGTCTGCAAGTACCGACAACATATAATTGCTTCGTTGATTGAAACTTTTTTATTACTTTTTGGATATTTGAGTGGATACCTCTGTATGACTAGCTTAATAGATTTCATTTCACATCAGTTAACTCTCTTATTGAAAAGGTGATGTCTGTTTTTAGCAAGATCTGTTTTGCTTCTGGTCACTTGTGTTTTCCATCCATATCAGATATTCATGTATTTGCTAGTTCTTAGAATTTAGGGAACCAGAAGAAAGTATGTTATATGCTTTTGAGTTCTTGCATTTGGGCTTCGGTGCCTAAATATAAGTCATCTATATTCGGTGTCATTTTGCCACCCCCATTGGATAAATTTTTTCCTTATTTTGGGCTCTCAAAGAATTCTTCGTGGCTGTCAATGGAACTCTAAATGGAGATTTAAGTCCTTTTTTTTTTAAGACTGAACATGAAAGATGTGTTAATGTGACCACCGTATTGTATAGATCTACCAAGAAGTGTGAATATTTGCAGGAAGATGCGGAACACTACCTGTCTACCGCACAATACTGATTGCATGCTTTGTGTTTTAGAAACTGTTGTTTGCATGCGTAACCTTGTTGGGGACCGAAGAATCTTCATGGTTCCTTTAGATGACCTTAGCATGACTTCCCGATACCTGTAATCATAAAATGTCATGGTGCAAACAACGACCACCACATTTCATCATTGCTGATATTGTTGGTATCCATTAATTTTTGAGGAAGCCATCTCCTGGAAGGGAATTAAACATCTTCTGGTCCAAATTTTTCTTAGCTTCGTGGACAATTTTCTTATCATCTGAGAAGCAGCACTCAAAGTTGAGAATGAATATTGATAGGCTCACTTTTTCTGCAAGGAAACCAAATGGGGCTTTGCCCATATTAATTTGGCTAAAAGTAGAAACTCAATCTATATATGTATAACTCTTTTTTTCGATGGGATATATATGTATAACTTGCACTGATTACAAGTACGTTTTATGACTAAGTGTTTTTTTTTGTACAATTTGTGTCAGTTGTGTTGGCTGCGAATGGGAGGCTAAGATACATAGACAGTATAGCAAAGAAATTTGCGGAGTTGACCATGGCAAACAGGGGAGAAGTAAAAGCCATTGTGACGTCTGTCATTGTAAGTTATTTCCCATCAACTCTGAATCTTTAACTTTGAAGAGCATTCTCACAATACAAAATGTAACTTGAACATGAGTGGTCACTTCTGTACTCTAAGAAATCCCTCTGTTTGGTTAATCCTGAGACTGTTTTCATGCATATATGTTGTGCTTCTTTGGCATGGGTTCTGATGTGGTGGTAATAAAATATTTGCTGTACAAACTTCTTATGTATGCAACTAGACATAATGCATTTGTGCTGCTTGTGAAAGTCATGATCAATGTCAAGCTGCTGAATGATTGTATCACTTTATAATGCCAATGTTACCATTTAAAATCAATAAAACCTTTTTTTGCTGACAAATAACTTGAGGAAAAAGTTTTTACTAATNTAGATGACCTTAGCATGACTTCCCGATACCTGTAATCATAAAATGTCATGGTGCAAACAACGACCACCACATTTCATCATTGCTGATATTGTTGGTATCCATTAATTTTTGAGGAAGCCATCTCCTGGAAGGGAATTAAACTTCTTCTGGTCCAAATTTTTCTTAGCTTCGTGGACAATTTTCTTATCATCTGAGAAGCAGCACTCAAAGTTGAGAATGATTATTGATAGGCTCACTTTTTCTGCAAGGAAACCAAATGGGGCTTTGCCCATATTAATTTGGCTAAAAGTAGAAACTCAATCTATATATGTATAACTCTTTTTTTCGATGGGATATATATGTATAACTTGCACTGATTACAAGTACGTTTTATGACTAAGTGTTTTTTTTTGTACAATTTGTGTCAGTTGTGTTGGCTGCGAATGGGAGGCTAAGATACATAGACAGTATAGCAAAGAAATTTGCGGAGTTGACCATGGCAAACAGGGGAGAAGTAAAAGCCATTGTGACGTCTGTCATTGTAAGTTATTTCCCATCAACTCTGAATTTTTAACTTTGAAGAGCATTCTCACGATACAAAATGTAACTTGAACATGAGTGGTCACTTCTGTACCTAAGAAATCCCTCTGTTTGGTTAATCCTGAGACTGTTTTCATGCATATATGTTGTGCTTCTTTGGCATGGGTTCTGATGTGGTGGTAATAAAATATTTGCTGTACAAACTTCTTATGCATGCAAGTAGACATAATGCATTTGTGCTGCTTGTGAAAGTCATGATCAATGTCAAGCTGCTGAATGATTGTATCACTTTATAATGCCAATGTTACCATTTAAAATCAATAAAACCTTTTTTTGCTGACAAATAACTTGAGGAAAAAGTTTTTACTAATTCGAAAAAAAAAAAAAAACCCAACAATCTAGCTGTAGATGAAGAAGAAAATTCATATGATAAGTAAAGGAAAATGGTGTTGTCTCCATTCATGATGTTTGAGATCTGTATATTTATTTTTCATTGCTAATCATAAGTTTTGAACTCCTTACCATCCCCTTCTCTAAAATGCCACACCAGCGGTTAATCAGCTATGCTACAACTACTTTGGCAATGTTTGAGAGATTCATAGATAATCATAAAAGATGAAACTATTAATCCTCTTAAGATTTTGTTGGTATTAAGGAACGGGTTAATTGTTGTGGTTCAGTGCATGTTTCAAGTCTAAGCTAGGTAGATCCAAGAATATGTTATTCTATGATCTTGAATGCCAAATACAGGAAAAGATTATCTCCATGATTATCCTTGGTCATAATAATGAACTTAAAATGAAGGTAAAGAGCTGTCTCCTACTCAACTTCCAATGCAAATGCTACACAAGTTTACCCTAGAAGATTTGAAACAAAAAAAAGAAAAGATAAATAGTAATATGTTACTCAAATTGCAAATCCACTCCAAAGAAATAAGAACTTGCAACTTTGCAAAATGTTTAAGATAAAAAACGAGTAACAAACAATATGATGCCTAATGGTGAGACATGATTCATGTAGTCAACTGCAAATAGTTGGGATAAGGCTTAGCTAAATTCAGTTGAGTTGAGTTGTACTTGGAATATGACTCAGTTTACGCTAAATCTTCACTTTTATGGGTCTATGTTAGAGTTGATTCCGATTTCCAAATTTCAATCCTGACCCTTCTTATTTTTGTGCAATTTTTGGTAGTTAACATCATAGGTGAAAACCCAATTGCAACTTTTTTATAACCACTATATGTTCGCCCTTTTACCAGGCCCTTCCTCCAGAAGAGGAGAAAGAACTGAAGGAAACATTACAGGACTTAATTGGACAAGGGAAGAAAGTGAAGCTTGAACAGAAGGTAGTATGCTAATCACAAGTTGCAGTGCTATGCTGATCTTTCTAATTTCCATCTTGTTTTATGATGGGAGTATCTCTAATGCTGCTATTTTTGTGCCAGATTGACCCTAATATTCTTGGTGGGCTTGTGCTTGAATTTGGGCAAAAGGTTTTTGACATGTCCATTAAGACTAGGGCACGACAGATGGAGAGGTTCTTGCGGGATCCCACCCACATTGGCAGTCTCTAAATGGTGCTTCACTCTCTTTTAAGTCTCTCTATGATTATTTCTGCATCTTGCTTGAGACTCGAAGAAGGAAACAAAATATTTGTTTTCTCCTATTCTAGGCTGCTCGCAGCCCTTTTTTGTCTGACTACAAATAAGAGCTACTTCTCATTTACATTTGCTCGTGACAGCCCTGGATAAACCTCTCCTTTTTCCTTGAATTTTTCTTTTTCGTTCTCTTGAAATCATAATTTGTCGAGTGCAGCACCAACATGCTTTCCTGACCTTTGCGCCTGAGAACAAGTTTTCACAGATATCGCATGGATAGGGGGTTAATATTCATATTGGCTACGTATGGTTTCTTGTCATCTTAATCTATTTAGAAGTTGCATGCTGCATGTCGCAGGATTTCAAGAATGACATCAGTTTAATCTGGCATTTGCGTATAGAAAGCAGTTTTTGTTTTGGCACGTTCGAGTAGCTTGGCATTTTTTTTTCGCTAATAGAAAATAGCGTCTTAAAAGCATACTTAATATCGATTGTTATGCCTGACCGCGTTCGGATTTTTCTGGTATTGATTGAATATGCCTGGTTGAAGCCTCTTGTAAGGTCTTCGAAAATCAGACAGGGTATTCCATGAGACATCGGTTACTATGTAAAAGGGGCAACTCTCTTTGTTATGTGAATGGACTAGGAGAAAAAGAGGAGGGGCCCCCGGGGGGAGGGAGGGGTGGGGGGGATCCTAGGAGACTAACGACCTGAAATTTGGGGATTTAGAATCGGGACATGAATGAGCACATGTGTGATTGGGGGTTCGGAGTTTGAAGAGCTGGACCAAGAATTGAAGGGTCCAAAAATTGGATGATTCTTTTTAACCATCAATTTGATTGGGTCGTAGGGTCCAAAAATCTAAAAATTAATTCATAAAATTCACTTTGGGACCCTAGAATCAAAATTAATTTTTAGAACATGGGAAAAATTAATTTGTAACAACGTTATGGTCCTCTTATTTTTCTCATTAATGAATACAAATAAATTACCTTCATAAATATTAGATTCACAAGATACCATCGTAAGAGATAAATCTGACCCAACACTTTAAAAATCCAGACAACGTACGTAATTTGATTTTACCACAAACTTTATTCTTTTTTGCTTTTAATCATAAAACTCGTCCAAGAATGTGTATTTTTTGTTTAAAGAAGCACTTATCCATCGGATTAATATCCCTCATTTTGTAATTAAATATAAAGTCAATGAGCTTTTCAATGCACTAACACTACAAGAAATTGGACTNTAATCCAATTAGGATTGTCAAGACAAACAATGTTAAGACAGAGGAAGAGAAAAAGAGTATGAAAGATGTGAGTGTATGTTTAAAAGAGATATGAAATAGAGAGAGATAATTATATGAGAGATGAGATAGTGTGTTTAAAATGTCTGAGAGAGAGAGAGAGTTATATACGTATAAGAGTTGAGTATATGAGATAGAGATGAAGATAGAGTTATATGAGAGATGAAAATCTTTAAATTTTTTTGAGTAAAATAGTCTAATTAGGAACGTCAAGACAAACAATGTTAAGAGGGAGAGAGAATATGAGAGATGTGAGAGTGTGTGTTTAAAAGGGGTATGAAATAGAGAGNGAGTAAAATAGTCTAATTAGGAACGTCAAGACAAACAATGTTAAGAGAGAGAGAGAATATGAGAGATGTGAGAGTGTGTGTTTAAAAGGGGTATGAAATAGAGAGAGATAATTATATGAGAGATGTGAGAGTGTGTTTAAAATGTCTGAAAGAGAGAGTTATATACGAATGAGATTTGGGTGTATAAGATAAAGAGTAAGAGAGAGTTTTACAAGAGATGAGAGTCTTAGAGTTGTAAAAAGAATGAAAATCTAATTAGCATTGTTAGATCAATAATCCTCAAAATCTGAACTGCAAAATACTAAAGACAACCCATCAAACTACTTTATTATATAGATATTGTGTCTTGCTTAGACAAAGAAACCCAAGAAAAATTTATATATCCTCTACTTAAAGAGAAGAATTGAATCTAAATATAATGTTAATTCAAAAGAATTTAATACTACATANAAAAATCTAATTAGGATTGTCGGATCAATAATCCTCAAAATCTGAGCTGCAAAATACTAAAGACAACCTATCAAACTACTTTATTATATAGATATTGTGTCTTGCTTAGACAAAGAAACCCAAGAAAAATTTATATATCCTCTACTCAAAGAGAAGAATTGAATCTAAATATAATGTTAATTCAAAAGAATTTAATACTACATANGTGATTGGGGGTTCGGAGTTTGAAGAGCTGGACCAAGAATTGAAGGGTCCAAAAATTGGATGATTCTTTTTAACCATCAATTTGATTGGGTCGTAGGGTCCAAAAATCTAAAAATTAATTCATAAAATTCACTTTGGGACCCTAGAATCAAAATTAATTTTTAGAACATGGGAAAAATTAATTTGTAACAACGTTATGGTCCTCTTATTTTTCTCATTAATGAATACAAATAAATTACCTTCATAAATATTAGATTCACAAGATACCATCGTAAGAGATAAATCTGACCCAACACTTTAAAAATCCAGACAACGTACGTAATTTGATTTTACCACAAACTTTATTCTTTTTTGCTTTTAATCATAAAACTCGTCCAAGAATGTGTATTTTTTGTTTAAAGAAGCACTTATCCATCGGATTAATATCCCTCATTTTGTAATTAAATATAAAGTCAATGAGCTTTTCAATGCACTAACACTACAAGAAATTGGACTTTTAGCAACAACAATTGTTGAAGTTAAATTTGAAAAAAATTATCATTATATAATTTTGTGATAATTCTTTTATGGCCGCTGGCCTGCGACGATATGTTGTGTGAATAAATTTTTTAGTGGGAACATTAAATAACTTCGGTTGTCATCAAATAGATTCGTTACCATATCTTAAGTGGCTATAATAATTTTTTGCCACTAAGCATACGCCTTTAAAGACAATTTTTTTAACTGCAATCTAAATCTAGTGGTTAAAAAGTATAATTTCTTTTGAGAATTATCCTGTTTATATAGCAATTTTCTGAAAAGTTGAAAAAAGGCATCGGATTTTTTAAAACCTAAAAAGGGGTATAAGACATTTTTGAAAAGTTGAGGAGTAAATATTGGGTATAACTATCTAATAAAAAAATAATAAAAAGGATAAAATATGACCCACTTTCTATCATAGAGGTTATTATGTATTGAGTGATTATGAGTTTTAGTGAGACTCATTTATTGACTTGTTTGTTTATTAGTAAACTGTTTCAGCACGTGATACTACTGACGTGGTATAATGGTTGCACTCATCGATGATGAGTAAAAGACCATAGTGCTTTAATATCATATACTTTTTTGTTTAGGTTTTAGGTTGATTAATCTTGTGGGCAAAAATGTTTTTTTATTGCATAAAGATATGTAAATTGCGTGTGTTATATGGATATTGAATATGATAAATTTTGCCTATGCTTACTAATAAGAAGTGGACAAATTTTTATTGTTGTTTTTCAAGCCAATTATATTAGCTTGTTGTATTAATTAGATATTGAACCTTTCGTTGATAAGGGTCATTTGGTAATAAGGACGAGCCGTAAATCTAGACGTTTTGAGTTCAAATCTTGACAATCCCTTGAGGTTAGACCATGAGGAATTTATTCTTCATAAATATCCTAGTTTCGATGTGAATGGTTAGGGCTGTTAATTTTTGACACGATATATTAACACTTGTCGAATACGAAATTAATGGGTTGAACACGAAATTAAATGAGTTAATAGATTAAAACGGGTCAACACGTTTAAATATGAAAAAAATTATGTCGGGTTCATGTTACACTCAGGTCAACCTGATTTTGACCTGATTAACTTGTATATTTTAAACGGGTTGACATGATTCGGATACGAACTCGACTTAACCCATTGTAGACCTGTTTAACATGTTTATGACAGTATAATTTGTCAATTATGTATTAGTGATGTGGTCTTAGCATTATTACTTGTTAGTTCTTGCTTCTACTATGATAATTAACAATATAATTCTTAATATTATTATGATAGTATACTATGATAGTTCTTACTTTAATTTTTGGGTTGAAACTTGAATGCATTTTAATTAATTTCATTGATGAGATGTGATATATTATTTGTAAAACAATTATTTAAAATTTTAGATTAATAATGTATTTAATGGTAATGAATTGATGTGAAAACATGTTACGTGTGTTAAATAGGTCTGTGTTATATGTGCTAAACAAATTAAACATATCACATTATGTGTGTTAACTGGAAAATCGCCTGTTTATTAAACGTTTAATGGCCAGGTTAGGTTAATACTTATACATTTCGACAAGATTATTAAACATATCAGGTTTGAGTTTTGAGATTTTCGATACAAACTCGAAATTAACCCAACACGAAACTTGATTTCAATCAAAACTAAAGTAATTTTGTTATATTGAAATGCCATGCCTTATTAGGATTTGTAAATTGCACGCAATTTATGAGTTTGAATTTGGTAAGTGGACAAATTACTTATGCTATATAACAAGGTCAATTTGATTGGCTAGTTGTGTATTATTAGCCTACGGTGATCTTTAGTTTTGGAAAGTACCCTTTGGTAGAGAACCAAGTTGGTTAGGAAAGCTAATTGAACCAAAAGTCTAATCTATAGCAAATTGAATATCACACTTCGCCGCCCCAATAACTCTAAAACTCACAATTTTCCCCTGAGCCTTAAAATTGTCTGAGATTGCATTCTCAAGGCTGAAAAGTCGAGGGTACAATGTGACATAACTTCTAATTTTAGGGGCTAACTGAGATTTTAAAACATGAGGGACAAACCGCCCTTATACTATACTCCGATAAATACAGATATAGGCCCATAAAATCCTCTCCTCAGATCATCAGAAATTTGCATTCCCTCTCAAGAATTTCCAAACCCCTTCAACTTTCTCAGATTTTCACAACTTTCCAACCCCCCT